GGCCTTCGGAGCACTGAACGGCGAGACCCCCCCATTGGGCGGTCGTGGGCTGGGTGAACCAAAAGGGGCTGCAGAGCAAGCGACGCTGCCCCGCCCTGCTGCTGTTGCTACGACACCCCTTCTCCGCTAATCATGTCCGCGCACGCACCCCAATGATACACTGTTTCATTTGGCGGGGAACCGAACTCTGGAAACGATGGCCCGCTGCGATGAGCGAGCTGCTCCTCCAGAGCTCTGGCCGGGGCCCACTGGCCCCCGAGGAAAAACACTGGCCTTCGGAGCACTGAACGGCGAGACCCCCCGAACTCCCTACTCAGGGCTGGCATTGTGGACGGGGGCTTTCGCGAGGGCTGACAGAGAACGAGCGAGCACAAAAATTAAAAAGATCTGGTCTTCTCTCAGTGGCACTCGTGCGACTAATTTCTTCACGCCTTCCACGGAGTTGTACACGCGGGAGACCTGTTCTTGAACACCAACGGATTTCCCTCCAACAAACGTTCGTCTAGACTAGCAATGTCCTCAGGCACCCCGCTAACGAGCGCGCATAGACAACGGCGCTTCCAAGGCGCCCGCCCCGAACACGCATCTATCACCGGCGATGTCACACCTGAAATCATCTGGAATTTCGCGAAGCCTCGGCCCAAGATATCTCCATAACCTGCTGCCTTCTGGCACCTCAAGCAAGAAAGGCACAGTGGCTCGGCGCGCAGCAGCGGCCATTCTGGCCAGTCTGGCCGCGAAGCGTTGCAGTTTATAATGCTGAAAATTCTCCCCGGCGGCCTTCCTGGAGCCAGTTACGGGAGGAGAAACAAACAGCATGGCGGCTTCTTCACGCCCGACGACAGCAAGCAGACGGCGCACGAGAGGCGCGCCGAGCCTATCATCGCTCAGAACTCTGCTTCCCCAGATCCTGGCGGGCAGACCGTCATCTGCGAGCCGCGCCCCCCCCCCGTCCTGCTCGTCGCCGATCAGGAGCGCTTTGCCGCGCTAGGCAAGGGCTGGGCGCCTCCTGGCAGCGGCGGCCCATGGCCCCAGACTAAGGCGCGTTCCAGCTCGCGCAGGCACCGGTCGCCGCGGGCCAGCAGCGTCGCGCTCGGCGTCTGGGCGCGCTGGCCCTGGCAAGCGCTCTTCCCGTACCGGGCCATGTTCTTCAACTGGCGCCAGCCGCCTCTGCGCTGCACCCCCGCCTGGCCGCGCTCGCCACTGGCGCGGTCGATGCACGCGCCCGAGAGCCTCGCCTGGTAGGGCGTCTTCATCCGGCGCAGCAACTGCGGGCAATTCAACGCCCAGTCTGACCGGCGAAGGTTCTGACGCCGCACGTCGCCGAGAACGGAGCCGAGAAACAGGAGCCACGACGAGTCGGGCCTCACGCCGAAGTCGAGCTCTCCTGCCTCGACCGGCGTCGCGCGCTCCTGAAGGTGCACCAGCAGCCCCCAGTGCGGGCTGCCTTTGCACGGCCCCGCGGCATCCCCAGGGCGCGGCTTGAAGAGCGAGGACGGACGCAGGCATGTCGAGACAGCCATCGCCAGAACACCGTCATCACTCGCTGGCCACACAGCACCAGGCCATGCATCAGGGCACACCAGATAATTAGCGGCTCTGGCATCCTGGCTCGATCAGGCGCAAGCAGCTTCCAGCCCTTCCGCGCCTTCCACATCCGCGGCGGCGCCTCTGCCCCCAGCACCCCGCACTTCGGGTAGAGGTGGTTCACCGCCGCCGCCACGCACATGCCCGTCGAGGCCTGCTCGCCCTGCAGGTAAAGGGACTGGAAGTGGTGGACTAGGCAGGCATTCAACGTCTCCGACGGCCGCTCGAAAAAGCCCTGGCGGCCACACCTCTCCTCGAGCTGCTCGAGCACCCTCCGGTACTGAGCTCGCACCCGCGGGGTCACCGCACTGGACCCCAGGTAGCGGTCGATCGGCACCCCGTCTGCAATCGCTCGCACCACCGCTGAGCGCCGTCGCTTTGACCCCCATCGACAACGTCCTCTGTCGCATGGCGTGCGCGCACAGGCACGGTGGGGTTCAAAAAGGCCAGCTGATCTACGATTGCCCTCGTCACCAGAGCTGGATACAGGACGAGGATGAGAGGCGGGCAGGGAAACTGGAATAAGACGCGTCTGAATAGTTGATGGATCTCCACCCTCGGCCCGCGATCCCTCGCCACTATCGCTGAGCTCACCCAGGACCCAGCGAACGACCGCCATCAGGTTTCGGCTCAGAAGGTAGGCAGTGAACTTGCGGATCTGTCGCAATGCGCAAAGCTTCGACATCCGCTTCTATCGAACGCCAGCGCAACGCCAAGATTAGAGACCCGACGAAAGCACGGGCCTCTAAGATACCGATATGCCTACTGCATCCCCACGCCCCCTGGCCTACCGTCCGCCAAAGTTGGCGAGAAAGAAGCTCGCTGGGAACCTTACTGAGGTTGGGGCCATCTTGTAGTTCCCCCTGGGCAAAGCCGACGCGGTCAACTCCCCCCCCTCGTCGGCCGCGAGCTCGACCCCCCCCCTCGTCTCAGGAAGCCCCTAAGACCAGCCGCAGTTAGAGCCGAGCGCAGAGCACTGCCCCCCCCCCCCCTCCGCCCTGAACCGCCTCCTCTCGCGACAACAGCCCACGACATCCAAAGATTCGAAATCGCAGAAACTCCCAGCAATCCAGACGCATCCGAACACTGGACCCATCGGTTGCACGGGAGCCACCAATCAGAGACGATCAAAGGGAGCAACCCACGGACGGCGAACAACTCCCCCGACAGCTCTTCCAAAGTGGAGCCGACTCGCCTTTCATCTTATTGACGAAAGGATGCCAAGCGCGCAACACCGACAGCACGGGGCGCCGCGCCAGGCCCAGGCACGCGCAGTGGCCCAGCCGAACACGAAAGTCGCCCCCCCGCACCGCCCGCAACTGCATTATCCCGATGATCGCCCGGCGCACCCCCCAGAGTCTCCTCAGCGACGGCTGGGTCTGAAGCCTTCGCCCGTCCAAGACGACGCCCAGCACCTCGACGCCATCACGTCGCACCTCGCGTCCGTGCACGCTGAGGCCAGCCTTCTCGAAGGCCTGGATGAGCCCGTCTAGTCCGCAGCCCACGCGGCAGCCATTCTGCCCGATCACGCCCACGTTGTCGACATACACGTAGTGCCCCACCTGCTCTGAGCCCACCACGATCCTCAACACCAGCGGCTTCCCTAAGTCACTCAAGGGCTGGGCTCCTCGCAGACTCGGCGCAAACTGGCATCGGAGCTCTGTCACGCCGGCACAGCTAAACGCCCCGCGCGCATCCAACCGGCAACGCCTCAGGGACAAGGTAGAGCACATCGTCGCAACTCAGACGATGGCCCTCCAGCTCGGCCTCGCGCAACTGCATCTCTCCAGCCACGAGCGCTGGGACCCCGACGAGCCTCTTCATCCAGGGGGGCAACCGCATTCGACGAAAGGCGCCCTTCACGTCGGCGACCCCCACCGAGAATCCCACCTCTTCCAGCGCGGCCATGGAGGCGGCCTGCAGGCGGTCGCTGGCCCCCCATCTCCTCGAGCTCGAAGGCCGAGAGCCCCTCGGCAGAAGTTGGACAGGCGGAGGTTCAACCAGCCAAGCATTGCTCCGACGACAACCTAGAATCACGCGCGCCTTCTCCCCCACTTCCTACCACGCAAAGAAGACACCCGCCATCTCCGAGACCTGGCGCGCGAACGACACTAGCCCACGTCGAGCGAGATCCCTCGCAAAATCACCGCACCACCGCCGTCTCCGCACCAGCGATGGCTCGCTGAAGGGCGCTCGCGGACAACGCCCCAGAGCCTGACGCGCACTCGCACGGCCCCGCAGCACGCGCCCGCCCTGCCCCTGCGCGCACTGGCGCGCCCGCCCCCGCAGAAGTTCGCGAGGCGTTGGAGCCTCGGCGATGCTCTCGCGAAGCGAAGGCAGCCCAGGTCGCTAAGGGGCGAGCGCATCCTCGGGAGGGCCACCAAGGCAGGGTGACCTCCCACGCATCAGCTCCCGCAGGGCTGAATGCGGAGGTTGCGGAACTCCGCCTCGCATCGGCTGCGCGACGTTGCCCACCTGCCCCTCAACGCGCTGCACGACGTCGAACTGCAAGGCTGACGGCGATGAGATGGAGGACCCCACGTCGCCTCCTGCCAGCCAGGTGCGGCGATCGAGCCTAAAAGTACACCGCGAAGCTGTCGCCGACGCCGGCGATCGAGGCTTCGCCCTGACCCCTTCCGGCTAGGTAGCACCATCCTCTTCGGCAGAGGGAAGACGTCGCGAGCCCCGTCCCCTGGCGGAAGCCCAGGGGGGCCCAACCTCTCTGACGCCGGTCCAGTTCAAACGGCGAACCCCCGCATCCTCATCGGCCGCCTCCCGACGCATCTGCGTCGGATGGCTTCTTGGGAGGATTCTCCCTTTTGAATATGTTCCCGCCCCTTACAGGGCGTGAACCAGCACCTGTGAGGCCCCGAACTCAAGCCTTCAAGAACTCCGTGTCCGCCTTGGCCCGTTGCGCCCCAAGCTCCTCTACTCTGGGGCGACCAGGTTGCCTGGACCTGATTATCCTGTCAAGCACCGAGCCATGCGCCAATTGGCAGGCGCGCCCGGCACTGAGCACGCGCCCGTGATCGCCTGAATGCGCCTCGCCAGCCTCTCCACGAAGCGGAGCCCGCCCAGGTTCAACTGACCGTAGCTGCCTGCCAGCTGCAGGCCATGGCGAAGGACCTCCATTTCGTGGAAGACGCGGTCCTGTCGCTCCACGCGGTGCTCCCGCGACCACTCCGAGAGCCACCTCATCGGGTCACCGACGTTTTTGTACATAGCCGGCCTTCGCTAAGAAAACCACTGAGACTGGACCTTCAATCGGATCGTCATCGCACGACTCTGCCGAGATCTAACTCACCACCGTCCCCCTGTCTTTGTGGCGCCCGCCGTGTCCGTCGAAGTCCACGCTCAGGGTGCGTATATCCTCCGCAGGTCCAGCTAGCATACGATTCCCTGGCTCACGGCCT